ATTTTAAGTGCGGCAAAAATGAAGAAATAACGTTCGAAACAGCATATTCAGTAGGCCTAAACTTTAAAAAATAAATTTAACTTCTTTATTATAGTCTATCATTATAAAATCTAAGTTAACTCTAATTTTAAAAAGTTTATATCTGAGTAAAACAAAAATAAATTTGTTTTATTACATACGTTATTTTGAATATTAATAATAACTTATGCAATTAGTTTATATCTGTATTAACTTATAAGAATGTAAAAATATTAGTTAAGTAAAATTACTAAATCCATTTTATTTTGGCTATATTAATTTTGACTAAATTTGTCCTATATTTAGCTATGTTATTCCTAAAAATTTTCCAATAACTTATAAGATAAAATTAAACTATTTTATTAAACAAAGACCCGATATTTTTCTTCACATGGTTAAAACAATTGACAATTGTTAAGGCTCGTATGAGCAGCAATTTTGTAAATTAGTAGACCTATACATAGAGCTATTTAATCCGTAGATTACTTTATAACCTATTGTTTTATTGCATAAAAATTGCTTAAGTATTCTATGCCTATTTAAGCAATCTTTGATTATTAACTTCTTTCTGATTAGTACTCTAAGTCCATACCAAACAGTAGGCCAAGTTGTCAGAATAATTTTTAAAATTACTGTTATCTCTTGTGAGAATTGACAAAGAAGACTTTTCACTTGATAAATACTTTTTAATATTATATTAAAATTAAGAAATAACTTTAAAAATTTATGAAATCTCACCTGTTAAATTCAAAAATGCTATCTATATCGTGATTAATAATGATTAATTAAATTGTAAGAATATAATTAATATAAAGCATTAAATATATCCGTTCAAAATTAAGCTGTCGAAAATGATGTATAGTTTTTTTTATTTTTTTTATTACTATTATTAGGTCTATTTAATATAATAAACTTTATTTTTAGGCATTTCATTATTTGACAAATGAATTTTTTTTTTATTAAAAAATTCGGAATTGTTATAGTATCAAAGATAAAAGAATGTAAAGTGTTTTGGCATTGTAAAGGCGAATTATATTTATTCGTTTCTTTTTACAGTTCATTGAATATTATGTATTTTTTGTTTGTTTGTCTATTTGTTTGTAAATACATTTTTTAAATTGAGATTTCTGAAAAATGATATATTTAAGGCTTAACATGGAAAATGGAAAATATTGATGAACTTTTTCATTTGGAATCATGTTCTGCTTATCGGTAGAAAATTTTATAGATATAAAACTCTCCGAATAATTCAGAATTTTATAAGTTATAAATCTTATAAATATATCAAAAATCAGTCTATATAAAAAATATTTGATATTAAATCTAATAATTAATAGGCCTGTTTATGTTATATTGATAATTTTATAAATCTAGTTTTCCATAACAAAATTTATTACTAGCTTATTTTTAAGTTAACTAAATTTATCCTGAGAGACATAAATAAATTCTTATTGACGCACTGCTATTGAGTTACGGTAGCCTTAACTTTTTTTCCATCAAAGAGATTGTTATTCTATAAGAATTTTTTAATAATGTAAAGTGAATCTTCACAAAGAAATTATGCAGCCAAACGTCAAAATGTATAATTATGAATAAACTTAGAAAGAACGATACTGTGACACATTTTATTTTAAAATTTATCTTTCGTAAGTGAAACCATTTTTGCTATTTTATAATATAGAGTAAAGTCAATATAAATTATTTTTTAAATTGCAAGATCTGTATTTATAAAAAGAAAGTAAGTTAAATGATATTTTTAACCTTTATTTTTAAATTTCAATTATATTATTAATTTATAAGAGTTAATTTCGTTTATTTTATGTCAAGGTTTATATATAATTCATTTTTTTCTTCCATATTCTTTTCTTATTTTTAAAAAAATTACATTGTATTTAACTAAAATTAATTTTTTTTTTCGCAATTTTTAACTTCATAATTCTAAAATAATCTCATTCTATTATCAAAATAAAATTAATTTAGATTTACATCGAAACACTCCCAGCTGCGTATATTCATTATTTTAATTAGCCGAAAGATAAAAAAAAAAAAGAATTTCCACATTTATCTTATTACTGTTCCACACGACAATAATTCAAATAGGAAAATAATTTTACAATATTATTTTATAGTAATTTATTTAAGCATCACCATTTTAAAAAAGAAAAAAAAAATTATTTGAAGTAAATTGAGGATAATTTGTTTGCTGAATGCAACCATGCCTGAAAAGAAACACTGAAGATTAAAATCAAAACGTGATCAGTCAAAACATTTTTCCTTGACGTGATGAATTTGTCAACGTTCCACTCGATGCTGCCAAGAGTAATGTTTGAGTGACCCAATAGGGTTGTGCGCATTTATGCTTTACTGCTTTCTCGATTCAGGAAATGTTTAAAGCTGTCGCATCGATTGAATTTCATATTAATTATTTATTCTGGTTCTATTTTATTAATATAAATAGATTAGCGTGTTTGTTTAATATATAGATTAATTTCGATAATATATCCGACAACAATGTGTAAATGAATTCCCGTGAAGATAAACAGTAATTTATAAACATTAAAGGAAAATAAATAGGCCTATGTATATCATTAAAAATTTAGCTAAAATATCTTGTCATAAATTTAGCATTAATCAAGTTCATGTAATGAATATTTGTAATGAGTTCAATAAAAAAAAATTCTCTCTAGAATAGTTTAGTATATTCATATTTAACTTTTGTTTATTCAACTGTTAGTAGGCCTATTGCTAATAGAATAACTGATTAATTTTATAGCAGAAAAAAATTCTGATTGTTAATTTATTATCGAAATTGCTTAACCTCTGATGAATTGAGCTATTAATGTTACATTTTAGTTATCCATTACAAAGTTCAATTCCTTTGGCCCATGTTATTTACAATTATGAAAAATTTAGATTTATTGTTCATAATTTATGGATTGAATTACTAATAGATATAAAAATAATTTAAATAACAAAGTTATTTATCAATTAAGAGAATTAATCACATCGTGAATTGCCATAAGCAAACCTCATGTCTATAATAGTCTTCACCCTCTCCAATCTATCTTGCTAATGAATCTAANTTCTTGCGCAAGTTTATTTTAATAAAGATAATCCGTTCTGAGAAATGAGGAAAAAATATCAATTCTAGGAACAATAATAACACAATTATTTTGTGAGAATTGATTTTATCAATATAAATAAATTCCTTGTTATTTTATTTTGATACAGATGACTAATTTTGCTTTTCTACTTCTTAATCATTTTAAAAGTATTTTACCTCTTTCCAATCTTTTGCTATAAATCTTCTCACTTTTTGTTCTTCATACGTCAAATTTCGTCCTACTTTAAATATTTTATATAATTTACTGCTTTGCTCTATACATAAATTTCTACAAAGATATATTATTTAAAGTTTAGTTTCAATTATTTATAATTTTTGAGACTGATAAATAATCATGAAACGTACTTATTTTAACTCGTTATCATTTCAAAATTAATAGAGCGCAAATCTGTTCCCTATTGGTTAATACGTAACCTATAGAAATTGATCTTATTTAGGCATCATTCTATTGATGTGGAGTTACAATTGATGTTTTGTGCTTCATTGGTTAACTGTTAGCATAAATTTATTTTTTCCTTCTAGATTTTGTATTTTTCCTCTATTTGTGAAATTGAATATTAAATCTCCAAGAATAGTAACCAGGTTTTGTAAATGTATTGTACTGTACAGTACAGTACTTAAACTCTAGCTTCCTATTCACTAAATGAGGCAAAAGGGAAGAATAAAGCTGATTTATATGGTTCTAATTTTAACTGATGTAAAGTGTGTTTTTCGGAATTATTGAATTATTCATCGTCATAAAATAATACTTTATCATCATAGTGTAGTTAGCTTGAGACCGGAACGGTTTAATCGATAATACCACGCTAGCTAATGATTAAGTAAAACTTGATAATCTTTTTTCTACTTAATGGAATGTGAACACGATTTTAACTCACATGTTTTAACCATTATTTGTGAATTTAAACGATCTCTTTTCATCGTTCATTTAATTTTTAGGAGCATTAAAACTTTTTCTTTCAGACAATAATAGACTTGTACTGTTCCATCATTTTATTAATAGGCTCATCTATTTTAGTTATTATTTATTAATTGCTCATTTTTCCTTTCCGCTCTTTAATTTGTAATTTTTTCTTTTATATTTTGAATATGACTAAACATTATAAATTTATTATTAAATAACATTCACAGATTTATATAATTTCTTATAAATTATAATACCGTAAAAATAATATAATCCAATTTCTTTTATAAGAAATGCCTATGTGACTAATATATTATCATTTTTAAAATTAATCCCAAAATTTAAAGAACGTATCATTTAATTAAAAACCATAAAAGTAACTTCAGATTGACGGCATCGGCCCTTTAACAGAAACCAGAAACTGGGCCTTAGGCAAATTCTCTGATTGTTTGTAGCTTCAATTTGCACTAAAGGAGGAGACTTTCATTAGTCTGATGGGAAAGGAGGTGTTTAAGAGGTTTTTCCCCCTTCTTTCTCTCTCCATCACCTCAGAAGGGAACAATAATTGGCAGAAAATATTCTCCCTTATCAGATACAACAACTTGATTTCTAGTAAGGCGAGTCATGTCTCCGCCCCTCTAGACTCTTCATTACCTCATTTTGTTGCGAACCCAGTCTCGAACCGGACTGCACGAGGTGTGGATGTAGTAGAGTACCACCCGCGTGCACGGTGCTGCTACCCAGTGATAATTACCACAGCTCGCAGATGCCTAAAGAAAAAATAAAACCAGAGGCGCGGTCGCTAAAAACTGCCGATTCTGTAATTGCGGCTCACATCTACGGGCCCTCAATTAATATAATTAAAACCATCCATCACACTGTGATGATGCCACTCGCTAGAGGGCAGGCTGGACAAGGTCGGGTGGCTGCTCGATGATCGAGTCAGTTGGAGTGGTGCAGGCGATGTGTGCAGATGGCACGAGGGAGGCCTTAAAGTCCTGTGGGTGGTCAATGTTTACACAATCGCCATTACTTGGGATAATCATTGATTGGTGAGTAGTTTTGTCTCTTTGTAGAGATTCATCGCGTGAGGTGTTGCATTGCGTGATTCGTTTGATTCTGTTAGGAACTTCAGTAAAAAAAACTGTCATTTGTTGTTTGGTTGTTGAAATCTGTCATGCGATTGGTGTAACAAAGAACGAAATCATATCTCCATCCAACGTAAGAACTCCTTCTAATTGTAGTTTCACCAATAAAATATTCTTCTTTTCATATTTCATTTCATATTGATGAAGGAAGCTTAGCCTATATAAAAATATCCAATTATGTTAACATGGTCAAAATTTAATTAAATTTAATCTTGTATTAGTAAACAGATATCCTAGCGAGATGATGGGATAATAAACAGCCTAAAGCTAATTATTATTCAGGAAATTTCACGATGAACAGCTGCTCAAAACAAAGATAATTCTATCTGAATAAAAACAGTAATTAATGTGATCATGTTAGAAGAGGAATGATGAGGCCATCAACCTGAACACTTTATTGGCAATTTAACTGCCAAAGACGAGATCGTAACATCGGCTTAGGGAAAAAATAAGCAATTCCTTTTTGTAAACTCGAAAATTAAGATGTAGACCTTGCTGTTATGTCACCATCAGCACAGCAATACGATGAAAAAGTAGCGATAATAACAGTTCAATGATAAATTTGTAAAAGAATTAAAGTTTTAACATTAGTCATAACTGAAATTTAAGAAATCTTTTAAAAAGTCAATAATTAAACTTTCTAAGTTAAGTAATTTCTGTAATCTAAAAGGAATGCCTTTCTTCCTTATGATATCTTGGATGCTTACTCGTTAGACGAAAGTTATTTCAATACAAAATAATTCTTAGTAGTTTTACATTTTTAATTATCAAAAAGTCTTGTTTAAATTCACTTTAATCTTAAATTTCCAGTAAAATACTTGTCCATTTTTATGCGCTGTTGCAAAATTAGACAAAGAAATATAATCTAATAAATTTTTGAAATTAACTTTTCAAAAAAAATAAATTATTTAGAAGTCGAAGGAATGAATATAATGTTTTGTATTATACAATGCTCTGCTGTTGGAGGCCTAAAGGAAAATTCAAAATCCACTTTTTCTTTGAGCCCGAACATATTGAATTTCCTTGTTTCATTGACAAGAGGCCTCATAACATATTCTATCGTTTCAATAAATCTTGGATGTTAATAAATTAGTTTTATGTGCTTAGTGATTCTTTTAGATGTAATTAGACTACAGTTTTTGCATACCTAATTAGTTGAGATATGATATTTTAGATTCTTTACTTAACAAGATATTTTTTGACACCAACGTTGCCTATAATATTTTAACTATTTGAATAAATCTGTTTCATGTTTTTAAATTTAATAAACATTTTATTTATAAAGATTGAGAAATCAGTTTAGTTAATTTTTTATTATTATCTTTCATATAACAAAATATTAGCTCATATGAAGATTGTACTGAAAAGAAGTACTAAACTTATGCTGACATATATTTTAAATTAAATAAATTTAATATATCGTAAATAAATATTTTAAAACAGTATTAGCGTATAAATGTCTAAATATCTTGATTTATTTTATCATAAATAAAATATGACTATGGAATTTTATCGGCAAATTCATAATTGCAATGAACCTTTATAAGTTACAGTTAGTCTTCCATAACTCAAAAAAACTCCAATTTAACCTGTAAAATATTATCTAATATTTTTGTGTATTTTATTTTATTTTTTATTTTTTTCATTTTATATACCTTCGTGTCTGAAAGATTTTGATAAAAGAACATAGGGGTGGTAAACTCTATCAGTTTATCTCTAAAACCTCTTATTTTAAACGAGGTTATAAGTAGATAATCATCCCATCACGCTGGCAAATATTCGATAGTATAAGCCAATCAGCAAACATGCATTTTATCTAACCTCATCCACATTTTTTACAAGAGGTTGGTAATTTGTTGTGCAGCAAACCTAGCTCGAGCTTCACGCGTGCATCACGAACCACCAATTGTTTATAAACCGCGACATAAATCATACCATAAGAATTGGGGTGAGAAACTTTTCAAAAATTGTCTGTTATTTCCTGTACCTCCCCATTTTCTTTCTTTCCTCATTTTAGTGATTGTTAAAATACTATACAGTACATCCAATGTGAAAAATGCGTGGGTTGAAAGCTGATATAAGTCTTCGACCTGACCCCTGATACTTCTATCTGCATAGCCCTATCGTTTCTTTACCTAAGGCAACGTTCTTTTACCGATGTAAAAGTTAACAAAGCAATAATTTATTATGATCAATGTCTAATAACATATCCGTTGAACCTGTTGCTTATTATTGTTACTTTAGTCAAAATAAAATTATTTGATGGAGTTAAGTAAAAGTTAAAGGTGAATAAATAATATTAATTAAATCAAAAAAGTAAATTATTTATAAGTAAAATCTCGAAAATAAATTAAAAATTAAGTAAATAAACAATTTAAAACACAATATCAATTTCTGAAGTGCAGATTTTAATGTGTGTAGTGTTGAGAAGAAGAAGAAACTTTCACAACTTATTTAGAATTGAAGTAAATTTTTTAACTTTTCATGGAAAATTTAAGAAAATTTTAACGTAAATTGTCAACAAAATAAACTTCGAAAATGCAATCCTGGCATTTTCTGAAAAAGAAATTTTTGCACTGTACAGTACGTCAGAAACAGTTTTTTTGGGGGTTTGTTTTTTTAAGGAACGTTTGCTTTATTTTAGGAAACACGTATAACTAGTAACCGTTGACAGTATCATCCTAATTTAAACTTATTCTGAAATTTATCAAAGAAGTTATAAAAAAAAATTATTTCTAAATTTAAAAAAATAAAATTATTTATTTTTATTTAAACCGGATAATATTTGACTTAAGTAAATGTAGTTAGT